TTTTTTTTTGTCCGGAACTTTCCGGACGCAGGTCCGGCCGGACATCATGCTATGTCCGGGTCCGGGTCCGGGGTAACCATGGTTCATACATTGTACAGCCCCACGAACCCTAGTGGCCCCACTGAGCAACAGAGTCTTCGTCAAAACCATCAGTACATAAGATTCCCTTTCGCCTTAGTGAAATAATTGACCCATCATCTAACCACCAGATAGCTAATGACCATGGTGTAAGATGATTCAACCATCAACGTCGAATAGCTAATTTATTTTTGTCATGTTTTATTTTATGAATTTCAGTTAGTTGAGGGAGAGCATGACTTTGAAATAACAACGTATTTCGACTATAACCAGTTTTTTCAGAAGGTACTGAAGGTGATATTCTTGCAGTGCTCCATAAAAAATATTCTTCTTGAATTTGGCTATGTCGAGTAAAGAATCTTGCATTCTTATTGAATATTTTGAGCGAACCATTTACAAAGTTTACATTTGAAATCAGACTCAACTCATCTCACTTCAGCATGCATGCAAACCGATGACGACTCAACTGGTGCAATTGCGGCCACACAAAGCTCAGAGATAAGACCGTGGCCAGGAACACAGATCAGATTCAAACTTGTCTTGAATGGCTATGGCGCCTAGTGGCAGACAAAGATTCCCACCGGATCAACTGTATCCACCAGCAACTTGTTCGCACACACACATGCACTCTCATACACTCACTAGGATCACCCTGAATGCCCCCCCCCCCCCCCCCCCCCCCCCCACGACACACTCCTACTACTACTAACCGACGTGGCGGCTATGGCCGCCGTCTCTCTCCTACTAACTCGCGGCTATGGCCGCTTCTTCCTCCTCTTAGCCCTCTTCTTCCTCGGGCACCTCAAGACCTCCAGTACACAAGACACTTGGACAGCACTTCTGCACGGCTCACAGGCAGAATGAATGAATGACTTAATGCTACCTCTTTATTTATACTTCGGATCGTCGGTGGTCTGGCCTCTGACCCTGGGCCCGGGATGTACACAGTCCGACATGGTACTTGCTGACTAGACTAAGTTAGACCGGGACTGGGCACCGCTGACTGGACGAAGTAGGACTGGGACTGCCCTTTGCTGACTGTGCTAGGACTGCCCCTCGCTGACTCAGCTGCGGACTGACTCCTACGCCCTACGAAGAGCCAGTGTAGACTAGTCTAGAAGGTCCTAGACTTGACCTTTCGGAACTGTAGCAGCTATGATCTATATGAACCCTACGACTGCTAAAACTAAGGTCTACGGGTCAAACCCTCGCGACCACGCTATATACAACAGCCGACCATACGACTTTCAGGGAACAGGACGTGGGTTCAAACACACAGGGTCAATGGGTGCTGTACAAGGGTAAGGGGGTAGGTCTAGGGATCGAGCCCTGGGATCTGCATCTGTCACCTGTTTAGGTGAAAACCGTTTCACATTGATCCAACAAAGATATTTGTGGGCCCACTGGGGGTACCCAAGGTGGGCCCATGTGTCCTCAGCGGGCCCATAGAGGACAGTATGGCTGGGTAAACTTCATGAAACATGATGAAACCATAGAAGTGAATAATGCAATACCACCCGACCAATAGGTAGTCGATCGCTCCCCCTCTCCCACCCGTAAAAAAACAAAAAAAAACAAATGAAGTTTAGGAAACAAAAAAAGAATTAATTAATCACTGCCAAAAGCTGGCTATGACTGAGAATGTGGTACCTTCTGGTTTTCCTATGGACCCTGTTTGTTGATTCTGTGGGACTGTGGGACACAGTTGTTGGATATTGGATGGAGCATATTCCAAACTACAGAGGAAAACCAGGCCCAGATTTTAAGGCCATGAATGCAGCAGCTGTCAGACAGTGAGTGTGTCTCCACACCAAAGCCTTCTTTATCCTGACACCCCACCCCATCTGTACAATTATTAGTACGAGAGTAGTCAGCAAAGCCCAAGCGGGCTAGCTCAGTTGGTTTGAGCACGGAAGTGGTTTGCAGGAGGTCCTGGGTTCGATTCCCCACGTCGTCCATTCCATCCCCATGGCCTCCTGTGATGCGCTTCGGGTTCTCCAGCGGAGATAATTGGCTTGGGCCTCCTGGCTGGCTGGGAAGCGACCATTTGCGCCTTCCAGCTCGCGCCTGGTGTTAGAAGCTTGGGTGCTGCTCTCCGCACAGAGCAGATGTGGTTTCTTAACTTAGGAGAGATTTCCTGCCTTGGGCACTAAAAGAAAAGAAACTGTAGTGCATTGCTAAGCTGTGTGTAGGTAGGTAGGTAGTGGGAGATACATCGAGAGAAGAATATAGGTTACTTAAAAAAAAAAAAAAAAAAAAAAAACTAAATGGGGGCAATCTGGATGAAACTTCATGAAAGTGCATTGGAAAGCAAAGTCAGGATGTATTGCAGCAAACCTCTAACTGTTCTGAACTTACTGATATGAAAAAAGCATTGCCATTCTGGCTTTAATTGTTGGCCTTGGGGTTGACATTCAGCTTGATTATTAAGTCAATTAAGCTCGTTAAAAAGAATCAAAAGACACAAAAGCGATTAAACTCGTCAAAAGGAATCGAAAGACAGAAAAGCGATTAAACTCGTCAAAAGGAATTGAAAGACAGAAAAGCGGCTTGGAATTGATGTGTCAGTCCTGGGAGTGACTGGAATTTAAAGGAATGAAGTGGAAGTGACAGGTATGGGCTCTCAAATGGATTGAGAATTCGAGAGGCAGCAGCAGCACCCTTCGGGACATCTGTTAAATTTGGAACGATACAGAGAAGATCAGCATGGGAAAAAAAAAAACAGAGAGAGATAGGCAGCGGCAGTTGTCTTGGTGTTGGGACAAAGGTGGGATGACCAACTGAACACCAGTTTGGGTCCAGTGCAAAAGATACCATGATGGGGGTCTATTCTGCGAACCAGAAATCGGAAGATTAGAAGTTTACAGTGGTCAATAACTCATTTAGCAATGCTCTGGTCAATCTTTGGCCTTAAGCCAACAGTTTGCGAGGATGTGTGTACTCGGCATGCCCCTAAGAGGCCCCCGCTACAAGCAGAGTGCCCGCCCTAAGTGAAGGCGAGCCCTGTATCTCGAAGGGACCTGAATGTTGCAAAATTTCCGTGTCTTGGTGAGCGCCAGACAGTTGCTGCGCGCCAGTTGGTTACATGTGCCCTGTTCACGAGATCAGAATCTCCGTGAGCATTCCAGGCTCTTCAACTCTTGACTTGGAAGCTGGTCTCTCGGCCAATGGGAAATCAGGGCATACCTAGCTGGGCGCTGGGTGGCTGGGCGCGCCTAACTGCTGCGGGGCCCAGGCCACTGTCTGAAAGGGCCTGGGCGCAGACACTTTGGCCCAAAGGGAAGCTACTGGAAGCACGGGCCTCCCAGCGAAGCAGGCTGGAGGCCAGGCCGCTTTCCATATAGGAAAGAGCCTGGCCATGAAGGATTCATTCCGGCACTTCGCTGTGCAAGTGGCAGTGCTGCTGGAGCGATTGTCGTGCCAGCTTCTGCTTTGGTTCTCCTTCGGTGTGATATCAGTGCATTTCTGCTTTCTGGACAGCTTACAACTATCTGGCTTTCAGTGTGATTTTGCAATTTGGAATTCTGTCATTTGATTCATTTCGCTATTGCTCGTTTTCCTTGCAAGTGCGTTTCCCAGCCATTCTTTTTCGATGCGGCTGTTCACGCACCGCGACTTTCGGGGCACGGCCTACCAGGAGCTAAAGGGCCGGCGGCGCCAGCCAAAGAAGAAAGCGTGCCGGTTCTTTTTTTTTTTTATGCGCAGGGTGTTTCTAGGCTCAGCAAGGGAAGGGTCATAAGTACTGGTGGTTTAACAAGCACAGGAGTAAGGATCTAAACCACCACTACCTCCGACCATGTTTTTGCCGACCCTGAATTTCACTGCGCACCGAGTTTTGCCGAGCCTGGGTTCCGATGCATTTTCTTTTCTCTTCATCGGCCAAAACATCGCCTATGTGAATTTTCTTGTGTTTATTCTTCTTCTTCTTTTTCCATCATCTGCTTCTCTGCTCCTCCATCTTCTTGTTTTTTAGTTCATGCGTGAAGTGTGCGAGTGTCCTGTCTGGATAGTGCGCATTGGGTATCGGGGGCATTGCATTTGAGCTGCAGTACGCGATGTGCAGTAGATAGAACTCTTTGTTGCATGCAGGTGCAGCCTGCCTCAAATCCTCACCCTATTGTTATCATCATTCGGTTGCAGTTTGGAGCTGAGGCGTGTCAGCCAGGCACGTTTCGCCATTTGACCAGACGATGAGGGCTCCAACATTTTTTGTTTCCCTTGTAGCTCTACGAAGGCTTCGCTTGGCTTAAACCGCCAGTCCACGGCCCCTGCCGTTTATAAAACCGCAAGTCGTCGACTCCAAAATTTTTGAGGTTCCATGCTACTGCACCACAATGGCTGGCAGCGCCAGCCAAAGCGAAGAAAAAGTGGGCCGCTCGCGTTTTGGCAAAACTTGGTGTGCAGTGTGCAAGGAATATGAGCGAGAGCGGTAGACAGAAAACCAAGTTGCAAAATCACGAAGTAGCTCAGATAGTCATGTGCCAAGCAGAGAGCACAATGCACCAAGATACCGTCCAAATAAGAGCAATACAATGAACTTGTATGTCAATGTTGCCACTCTCTGGTCACACCAACACAGTATCTAATGTCGCTCCTACTATCTGCCGCCCAGCGCCCAGCCTACTCTACTCAGCCTATCTACACCTATCTACGTTCTTGCAACCAGGTCACATTGCAGCTGAAGACCAATGTACGTGATGTCATCACCAATGCTGATCCCCAGCATACACCAGGTACATTCTCTCTCTTCCCCTCATCACCCGTTGACTCCCTCTGCATGCGCCTCGTACCCGAAGACCACCATCGCCGTCACCTGCATCCGCACGCGCTACCCGACTATGGCTGCCGTGCGTCCACTGCAACCGCAGTGCCCTCTTACCTCTCAGTGCCCGTATGCGCCCCAGCCTGCCAGCGCTAAGCAGCGCTCATCTGACAATGCAGCAGCGTGGCTGCACTGCCTTGGCAGGCCAGAATGCCGTGCCCAGGGGCCACACACTTTCTTTTATGGAAAGTGTGCCCGCTGCTGGCTGGCCTGGCCAGGCGTGTAGGGACCCAGTAGCTTCAGTCTGGCCCCAAGTGTCTGCGCCCAGGCCCAGTTTCAGATACTGGGCTAGGCCTTGTGCAGTTAGGTACGTTCAGGCAGCCACCCAGCATCCAGGCGTTTGCAGCATTCTCATTGGTTCACGGTGCATGTGTGACGACAATGCTGCTTTCTCATTGGCACGCGGCCAGTCCATGATGTGTCGGCCTCACAGAGAATGTGCCCAGGGCACAACCGCCTGAGCCGTGGGCTCAACTGTACAGTGCAGCCCTTGCTTCTGGAACCAACTGGCGTGCTGCAACTGTCTGATACCCCACTTATGGAAAATGTCGAAAGTAGGCCTCATGTGGATATTCAGGCCCGCCTTCACTTAGGGCGGGCACGAGATTGCAGGGGGCTGCAGCCCAGAACACTTGCATGTCTGATAAGAGGCCCGCGAGGGCTCATTCCTCTCATTCCATCCACCTTAGCTTCGAAAGTCCGCTGAGATGTGTCTACGCAGGTGCTTTCCCCTTCAGTCTTTGTTCGTACTCAGCCACGATCTGAGGTGCTGTTTTGACGAGCTCCTCTCTTGTGAACCAACGATCTTCCTTTGGATCCGTATGATGCCTGAATCTGACCCAGTAGTCCCTCATAGGTTTGGGCGGTCTTCCCCTGCCCACAGGCTTGGGAACAGGCAAATCTCTATGTTCCAAAATGCCGTCGACGTCCGCATGGCCATCCATGGTTGGGGGCAGCATTGACCTTCTTGATGGGAACAGATCTGTCTCAGCGAAAGTTGCAAGCTTGGAAGTGTGAAACATAGGGTAAGTGCGCAGATGACCAAGGATTCTTATGACGTACGAGGGACCATCTAGATCACTACCCACAATATCTAGGACTTCCCAAGGACCAAAGTACTGTGGCATTAGCTTTCTAGAGATACCGAATTCCAGTCCCAGTTCACTAGCCTTTACCCAGACACGTTCCTCTACCTGAAATGTGAACTGTTGTCTGTGGTTGTTCTTAGAGTCAATCATTGCCTCTTGAGATTTTCTGATGTGCTCGACAGCCTGCTGCAACAATTTCTCATACTGGACACCAAATTCTATGGTTCTAAGCATTGCAGTCGGTCGGTTTTCAGGAAGAAGGAAGTCTAGTGCAGTTTTAGGCTTCCACCCCAAATGCACCTGATTGGGACCGGCGTCGTTGGTGCTATGTACAGCATTATTGTACAGACTGGCGATGAGAGGAAGTTTCTCATCCCAGTCATTCCGACTGGGCTTGATGTAATGCCTCAACAGATGTTGCACTGCACTTCATCTGTTCCGCTTGGCTGTTGGCTTTGGGATGATTCCCTGAAGTCGTTTGAAGTTGACTACCCATCTGTTCAGCGGCTTTCCTCCACATCTCACTTGTGAACCAGACATCTCTATCCCTAACGATGGTCTTAGGCAGTCCAAAGTAACGCACCCAGTTACCCATAAATAACTTGATGACGTTTTCGGTCTTGGCCGTCTCTGGCATGGCAATTAATCTAGCGTACTTAGTGAACCTGTCCACTATAACGAAGATATGTCGCTTAAGAGACTTGCTGGTTACGAGAGTGTCCATGAAATCCATGGAAACGCTTTGTCCCGGACCCGCAGGAATGGGCAAGGGCTTGCGTAACCCAAGCGGAGCTTGAGTTCGCGGCTTGTCCCGCTGATAGACTTGACAAGTTTGGACGTACTTCTTTGCATCATCTAGCATACTAGGCCAACAAAAACGCTG